GGAGGGAGGAGGGAGAGAGAGAGAGAGAGAGAGAGAGAGAGAGAGAGAGAGAGAGAGAGAGAGAGAGAGAGAGAGAGAGAGAGAGAGAGAGAGAGAGAGAGAGAAAGCGAGGCAAAACTTACAAAATTCGCACTAATGCCACGTTTTCGCCGAGCTCGAACCTAGCTCAGCGGCCGCGTCTTCAGCGCAAGAAATCTCGAGATTAAGCCAGATGACGTCACAAGCACACTTTAATCAAGCCACCGCTGGTCCTATCTTGAGATATCAGTCGGGCATGACGTCACACGAAAACAATCACAATGGCTACTAAACAGAAAAGACAATGTGAGGAGTTTTAGTGGAGTTGGTTCTTTACGCATGCTTCGGTTCATTCAGAGAATACAAATACGATGGAATTACAAAACGATTAATGATTAATAAGTGAATATGTTGGTGGAGTGTCGACATGGGTAGCTGCAGGCCTCACCCAACCTATCCCCTAATCATTATTACCATGGAAAAATATTATCTTTTATTACCATCTGTCTTGCATCTAAGGGACTACCTTCATAAAAAAATGGTTTAATTCTATCACAGATTCCTTTGACATCAATTCAAAAACCGAATTTCACTCCAAATGATGAAAGAGCTTCATTGATATAAAAAAAAGTTTATCATCAGTCAATCGGTTTCGCCTTTATATCTGGAATCCAGCTGAATCCTACTTAATCTTGAAATGAAGTCACATAAACAAATACATAAACAACCAAACAAACAAATAAATAGATAAATAATTTTTGGGTATAACTAGATAATTTTTCGAGTGGAGACATGGTCGTATTGTTCATCTGTAGAAGAGGACTCGTAGTTTCCCTCGAACTGACTGTTATCTCCAATTCCGTAGAGCACCTGCCTTTCCTTTCACACAATCCCGTCTTTAAACTAGTTACTCTGTCTATGTCTTGCCGCCTCACCTTCTGACAGCGTCCGCAGCCTCGCCCGCGCAACAGACCGCCTGTCCTGAGCGCGGAATCCCCAACCCACGAGCTTTATACCGCTGGGTCGAAACGAGGCCGGATGCCCTGAACACAACGCGACATTAGCGGCCCTTTGACGTTTCGCTGACTTTTGATAACGTTCTCGACTCATTGGGTGTTGTAAGATGTGCCATAAATTGCGAGGTATTTCGGCTATCTTATAATATCGGTAATTTTACAAATTTGGAATTTTCTTATAATTCGAGAGTGCATTTAGAGGATCTTACCAGTCTCCGTACTGCCCCAATCTTTCGGTGACCTAAGCATGTATTCTTATAGTTTATCGCTAATAGTTAATCCAGGGATGTTTGTTTGTTTGTTTGTGTGTGTGTGTGTGTGTGTGTGTGTGTGTGTGTGTGTGTGTGTGTGTGTGTGTGTGTGTGTGTGTGTGTGTGTGTGTGTGTGGTGTGTGTGTGTGTGTGTGTGTGGTGTGTCATTGTTTTCTGTCAGTCGGAAACAGATCCTTCATGTGTGCTTATGCATGATGCATGATGCAGCAGCCCCCGCCCTTCCCTCTCACCCTCGCAGGACAATGATGCTCTTCGCTTTGAGTTCAACAACGACTGTGTTTAGTTTTGGGCGAGTTACCCCTCCGCTGCCTTTGCGATTCAGTTTTCTCTTCATCCTTTTTAAATATCCGGAAATTATGACAAGCAAAATAGTGTAAGTACGTTTGTTATCAGCTGCTGACATTTAAATTGTCGTTGCTTTCTTGAAATAACATTTGGATATTCACCCCCCCCCCCACAAAAAAAAAATGAAGAGGGAGTTATAGACTGCAGTAAAACGTTAATAGAAAGAATAAGAATAATAACTGTATATAATTAATATTCAATTGTTGATTGAAAAAGACGGTCCTCAGGCCATACTAGACTCTGAAATACTTATGTAGTCTTTTTTTTCTATTAAACCACTTGAAGATTATTTTCCAATCACTAATCCAACCCCCTTCCCGCTCGCAATAATTGTAATATCTTCGAAACAATGATTCTTTTCTTTTCCATTATCATCGTTATCATAATTGTCATTACTCTTAACACCACAATTATTACCAAATATCACCGTTCGTTCACTCAGCTTCACAAAATCCGAACCCCCAAATATACAACACTTAAATCAACATAAGAAATCCCGGTTTTCTTCATATATACGTACAAAAAATCCCCCACACAGAGGTATACGTGGGACTCCCTCACAGGGCCCGAGCGCAACTAGTTCCCTCGACTTCAGTAAGAGCCATTTTGTTCTTATCTCGGCTCGCTATCGTTCCGAACCCGTAAATCAATTGTAACACCAGGCGAGGCATGTGCTGGCAACGATGCAAGGAAAATCTCCGGGAAACGATTATCTAGGAAAACCTTTTTCTTTTTGCTTGGTAACTGAAGGAGAGGCTGGCACGGCCGTTGTGTCTTGGCGGCGGCGGTTTGTTGTCCGTGATCAAAACTTTGCAGGTCGCTTGAGTGAAGATTAATGAGTGAGGATCA